TTTTCTCTCCCCACAACAGACACCCTGTGAGGTGGGTGGGGCTGAGACAGCTCTGAGAGAACCGTGACTGACCCAAGGTCACCCAGCTGGCTGCATGTGAAGGAGTGGGGAATCAAACCTGGTTGTCCAGATTGGAGTCTGCTGCTCATAACCAACTACCACCCTATGTGGTTACCATAAGTTGGCTGTGACTTGATGGCACTTTCCACCATTACTGACTGGCAGCCCTACAGGATCTCAGGAAGAAATCTTTCACAGCAGCTGCCCCTTCATCCTCTTAATAGGAGATTTATTTATTTGTAGTATTTTTATCCCGCCTTCCCTGCAAGCAGGCTCAGGGCAACTTACATTACTTGGCACAATGTACCAAGTGCATATAAAACAATTAAAACCATTTAAAACAATCAAACCGATTTACAATTAAAGTGCTCACAGTGTCATTAATTCAAGATGGCGTACCATACAGTGTGGCATCCAAGTACCCAGCTCAGCAGTCTCCCAGCATATCAAGCTAATATGGCTCACTTTCAACTACAGCTAGCCTAACACCACTGATGTTAATAGTGGATGTTGATGGTAGTGGTGGGTGGTTCCTAATTGAAGCCCTGGTGGACGAGCGCTGTCTTGCAGGCCCTGCGGAACTGCAGAAGATCCAGCAGGGCCCTGATCTCCTCCGGGAGCTCATTCCACTAGTAAGGAGCCACCACAGAAAAGACTCTGGCCCTGGTGGCAGCGAGTCTGGCCTCCTTGGGGCCTGGGATGACTAGTCGATGTTGCGACCCCGACCATAGTGCTCTCTGGGGTATGTATGGAGAAAGGTGGTCCCTCAAGTATGTTGGACAAAATCTCGCACATACATGCCGAAGCTTCTCCAAAATGTTGGAAAGGCTGCGATCAAGTGGGAGATTATGCCCACTGCTGGTGGAGATGCTGCAAAATTAAGAAGTTCTGGGACGAAATTTTAGAGACCATAGAGGCCATCACACAGGTCAAAATACCTTGCACACCAGAAATCTTATTTTTAAATAGTTGGCCAAAAGATCTCGAGGGAAGGATCCACAAAGACACCATTGACGCTATGCTAGATGCGGCTAAAACAACGATAGCCAACTCGTGGAAAGATCCAAAAAAACCGTCCATAGAGGTCTGGTACCGCAAACTCTGGAATCACTATCTGATGGACGCAGTTACAGCAAAAGTTGACACAACAAATCAAAACACAAGACAGGAGCGGTTTGCTGGGAAGTGGTACCCAATCATGCAGTACCTCTCAAAGCAACAATTCATCTCCTCTGAGTGGTCCCATTTTGCAGAATGGATTTGATTTACTTCATTATCATTTTTTGCAGTCTATTTTTCCCTGTGTATCTTTTTTCGTGTACGCATAATCTACACAGAAGAAGTATATCATACAAACTCTGTATTTGGACAACTGTTTTACTTATTGAATGTCGCTAAGTTAATGTTATACAATGTTTACTGTTCTTATTCTACAAAAGGATTACAGCGGAATGCTTGTAGGTTACTCGAAAGGTTGAGTAACAATTGTTTACATATGTTATAAAATTTTTGGAGACATGCCTATTTGATGCAAAATGTTATGCTAACTTGTTTTAATTGTTCATTGAAAAATAAAAAAATTTAAATCAAAAAAAAAAAGTATGTTGGACCGTGGCCATACAGGGCTTTAAAGGTAAGTACCAGCACCTTGAAGCGAATCCGGTACGCTCTTGGCAGCCAGTGCAGTGCCTTCAGCACAGGCTGGATGTGCTCTCATCTAGGAATACACATCAGCAGCCTGGCCACCGCATTCTGCACTAGCTGCAGCCTCTGGATTTGGGACAAGGGCAGCCCCATGTAGAGAGCGTTGCAGTAGTCTAATCTTGAGGTGACCATTGCATGGATCACTGTAGCCAGGTTGTTGTGATCGAGGTAGGGGGCCAACTGCCGAACCAGCCAAAGATGGTAGAAGGCCGGCTTAGCAGTGGCTGCAACCTGGGTTTCCATTGTCAAGGAGGGATCCAGGAGTACTCCCAAGCTCCTAACCCCCGACGCAGGCACCAATGGTGCCCCATCAGAGGCCGGGAGCGGGAGCCCCAACCCTGAGCCGCCCCGACTCAGGCACAGGACCTCCGTCTTCGCCAGATTTAGCTTCAGCCGACTCAGACTGAGCCAACCAGCCATGGCATGCAATGCCCGGTCCAGATCTTCTGGTCTGGAGTCCAACTGGCTGCCCAACATCAGATAGAGCCGAGTGTCATCAGCGTACTGATGACACCCCAGCCCATACCTCCAGGCTATCTGGGTATGGGGGCGCATATAGATGTTGAAGAGCATCGGGGACAGCACCGCCCCCTGAGGCACTCCGCACTCAAGCGGGTGCCTCTGGGACTGCTGTTTTCCTAGCACCACCCTTTGCCCCCGACTTTGGAGAAAGGAAGCAAGCCATTGCAAGGCAAGTCTCTGTATCCCCATGTCGGCAAGGCGGTGGGTCAGCAACTGGTGGTCGACCGTGCCGAACGCGGCCGACAGATGTAACAGCAACAGCACTGTCGAGCCGTCTCGATCCAGATGTCTCCGGAGGTCGTCAGTAAGGGTGACCAGTGCTGTCTCCGTGCTGTGTCCTGGGCGAAAGCCGGACTGGAAAGGATCTAATGCGGAAGTGTTATCCAGGAAGCTCTGCAGCTGCATTGCCACCACCCTCTCAATTAATTTGCCCAAATAGGGCAAATTGGAGATGGCAGAGATTGAACCTGGGGCCTTTCGCCTGTGAGCAAATGCTCGACCACCAAGCTACAACCATTCTCGTGTGGCCTGGCCCAGTGCTAGCAAAGGTGGGCCTGGCTTGAAGGTTCCCCTTGCTGCCTACAGAGGCTGCCTGGCTCAGCAGTTTGGCAGCATTAGGGGGCCCAGAGGCTCTTCCGCTGCTTTGCTTCCTAAGAAGGCAAACTGGTATGAGATACGTGAGTGAGAGCTTTGGGCAAGCTAGAAGGGGGTGTGGCAGTGGTCAACTCATAAGAACAAAAGAGAAGCCAATGTTGGATCAGGCCAATGGTTCATCCAGTCGAACATTCTGTCACACAGTGGCCAAAAATACCAGGGGCCATCAGGAGGTCCAGCAGTGGGGCCAGGACACTAGGAGCCCTCACACTATTGGCCCCCCCCCAACCACCAAGAATCACTTGCCCCAGACCAAGAGTTCCTATCTATACCTTGTGGCTAATAGCCACTGATGGACCTCTGCGCCATGCTTGTATCCGCCACCATATCCTGTGGCAGTGAATCCCATGTGTTAATCACTCTTCGGGTGAAGAAATACTTCCTTTTATCCGTTCTATCCCGACTGCTCAGCAATTTCGAGTGCCCACAAGTTCTTGTATTGTGAGAAAGGGAGAAAAGTACTTCTTTCTCTGCCTGCTCTATCCCATGCATAATCTTGTAAACCTTGATCATGTCACCCCTCAGTCCTCGTTTCTCCAAGCTAAAGAGCCCCAAGCGCTTTAACCTCTCTTCATAGGGAAAGTGTTCCAACCCTTTTATCAATCTAGTTGCCCTTTTCTGCACCTTTTCCAATGCTATAATATCCTTTTTGAGGTGTGGTGACCAGAACTGCACACAGTACTCCAAATGAGGTCGTACCATCGATTTATACAGGGGCACTGTGATACTGGCTGATTTGTTTTCAGTTCCATTCCTAATAACCCCCAGCATAGCGTTGGCCTTTCTTATTGCAGTCGCACACTGTCTTGACATTTTCAGTGAGTTATCAACTATGACTCCAGGGCATGCTGCCTGTCTGGGGCCCCTTGCATGGAAGCAAACTACAGCTGAAGCAAGTGAGTGTGTAGGAATGCAGTGCTCATTGCCCCAACCCAGCAACTGCAGGGCAGTCCCAGTCAGCGATACTGGCATGGGGTGGAGAGGGCAGGGGATGGCCAAGGCCACCGCTGACGCTGTCCCCAGGTATGTGGCACCCAACCTCCCTCTCGAAAGAGCTGAGAACTTCCCACTATGAGGTCACGTCAGACCAAACAGAGACATGCCGTTGCCATGCGAGGCACTGAGAGTCCATGGAGGATGAGGATGACACCCTGGGCCGGGGGCCCTGAACCAGGTGGGGAATACTGAGTCTGTCCAGGGTTTTCCAGGAAATGAAAGCTCTGCCTCCTCTCAAACCCAGCTAGGACAGAATGCACCAGAATACGGACTCATATTTTATTACAAAAAGTGAGAACATTGCAGGACATAGACCACCCCACCCCCTCCTAAAAAAAAAGGAAGAACCACAGTGAAAATTGGCCTCCCAAGAGGAAAAGCGCAGGGGTTTTTCCAAATCCCAGCTACGTCCACCCTGGCAGAGGTACAAATAATAGCACTATTTAGGGTTGCCAGCTCCTGGTTAGGAAATACCTGGAGATTTGCAGGGGGTAGAGCCTGGGGAAGGCAGGGTTTGGGGAGTGGAGGGACCTCAGCAGGGTACAGCGCCATAGAGTCCACCCTCCAAAGCCGCCCGTTTTCTCCAGATGAACTGATTTTGGTTAGTTTTGGTTGTCTGGAGACCAATCGTAATAGCGGGAGATCTCCAGGCGCCACCTGGAGGTTTGGCAAACCTAAACAGCGATAATTCATGAGTGACACAGATCTACCTCCGCCATACCCAAGAGGGGGAGGAAATTGCAAGAACAGCCTCATTTCCCAGGAGAGAGGATCTTGGGATGGCTCAAACCCTCAGGTGTCCCATAACCCTCTGACTGCTTCAAGGCCCCCTTGTTGGCAGGAAATGCCCCTCCCCAGGGTGCAGTCCCCCCCTGCAAGACACCTCCTCCGCCTCGCCTTCTTACTGGGAGAAGAGGGACAGCACTGGGGGTGGGGGGGCAAAGGAAGGCAGGGCCAGAAGCAACGTCTCCCGAGCCTCTCTGGCTGGAAGACGGCACCTTGCAGCGGTGTCAGGGTCACCTGCCCCCTTTCCTATTAGGGCCCCCAGGGGCTGGCGGTCACCCCTACGTGCTGTTCTCCTCAGGGTCTGATTTGCTAGCCCCTCGTTTGCGTCCCGGTGCACTGAGTGCGGCATCGAGGGCGCCGCGTAAGGAGGTTGCGGCATCGAGGCGGGAGCGGGCCTCCTGGACCGAGCAGCTGCGCAGCAGGCAGAGCAAAGCCGTGGGGACCACCTGGCAGAGGAAACAGACAAGGCTCTCCATTAGGGCTGGATTCTCTGCTGGGTCCCTTCTAGGGTTGCCAGGTCAGTTGTGAAAAGACTCAGGTACGCGTGGGGGGGGGGGGGTATGGGGAGGGATCCAGGAGAGGGTGGGGTTTAGGGAGGGGAGGGCCCTCAGAATGGTGCGATGCCATAGAGTCCACCCTTCAAAGCAGCCATTTTCTCCGGGGGAGCTGATCTCTGTCAGCTGGGGATCAGTTGTAAAAGCGGGAGATCCCCAGGTCCAACCTGGAGGCTGGCAACCCTAGTCCCTTCTAGTGCTCTGATGATAAAGAGATTGGGCTACAAGTGCAATGTTCCCTCTAAGCTGAGTTAGTGTCAGCTACCTTGCAGTTTTTTAGAAGAAGAAGAAGAGAAGATGAGATTGGATCTCCTTTTCCTTTCCCTCCCCACAACAGACACCCTGTGAGCAATGTTCCCTCTAAGCTATGGAGTCTTCTGAGCAAAAATTCTACTTTGTGAGCTACTGGCATTGCAGTTGTGAGCGAGCGATTTGGCTACTGCGTAAATTAGTTTGCTCTGGAGCCATCCCTCCTGAGCGAAGACAAAAAGGTGTGAGCTGGAGGCTAAAAAACTTTGAGCTAGCTCACACTAACTCAGCTTAGAGGGAACACTGCCTGTGAGGTAGGTGGGGCTGAGAGAGCTCTTGACAGAAACTGCTCTTTTTCAAGGACAGCTCTTATCAGAACTACCCAAGGTGCCTCCAGCTCGCAGATTTTTGTCTTCGCTCAGGAAGGAGGGCTCCAGAGCAGTGTTCCCTCTAAGCTGAGTTAGTGTGAGCTAGCTCACATTTTTTTAGCCTCCGGCTCACACATTTTTGGCTTCGCTCAGGAAGGATGGCTCCAGAGCAAACTGATTTATGTAGTAGCCAAATTGCTTGCTCACAACTCCAATGCCAGTCACTCACAAAGTAGAATTTTTGCTCACAAGACTTCATAGCTTAGAGGGAGCATTGCGCGTCCAGAGCAAACTGATTTATGCAGGAGCCAAGCTTGCTCGCTCACAACTTTAATGCCAGTAGCTCACCAAGTACAATTTTGGCTCACAAGACACCACAGCTTAGAGGGAGCACCTGGTGACTGACAGGTGAGCTGAAGGGTTGGGATTGAAGAGGGGAGAGGCCAGGATGGAAGCACCAGCTGGGCCGGGAGGTGCAGGAACGGCTGAACTTTACTAGCCTGGCAACAGATTCCAGTCCGTGTCTGCCTGGGCCTCCCTGAGCCAGGGAGGAAGGGAAATTCTTACCTTGGTCTTGTCTGTTGCCACAGCAATGTGCTTGGAGACTTCAGCAGCACGGATCTCTTCAGAGAGAGGCTCAGGGTCATAAATCACCTGCAGCAGCACTTCCAAGCACTTGGCTTGCGAGTGTCCCGTGAACCTCTGGTTTGGGAGGGACAGCGGTCAGATGGTAGCAAAAGGAGCAACTGGGTTGAGAGGGGACACCTGACTCCCTGCAATAGTCACGGCCCCACGGAGCCCATGTGGGGAAATGGGCCCTTGGACTGGCAGGGAGACCTGAATGTTTTGGGGCCAAGCCCTATCTCTACTTAAGCTTTGCAGGGTTGTTATGAGGACGGCCATCTTCCACTTGGAGGTCCAAACTGTTACAGTTTTCAACACATCATGTCTGTATTGCCCATCCTAACTTTGAACCAGCCACACATCAACAGGAACTTTCCTGCTGGGAACCCAGTATCCCCCCCCCCCCAGCCCATTTCAGGTCAGGAAAATGGAGGAGGAGGAGGAGGAGGAAGAGGAGTTTGATTTATACCCCACCCTTCACTCGGAGTCTCCTTCCTCTTTCCACAACAGACACCCTGTGAGGTAGGCAGCGCTGAGAGAGCTCTGAGAGAACTGCTCTTGAGAGAACAGCTCTGAAATAACTGTGACTGACCCCATGTCACCCAGCAGCTGCATGTGGAGGAGTGGGGAATCAAACCCGGTTCTCCCAGATTAGAGTCCACACTCCTAACCACTACACAAAACTGGAGACTAGAGCCTTTTCATCCCTATGGGCTGTGGTCAGGATCTGGTAGGGAACTCTCACTGTAACATGTAACTGACTGATTCAAAGTCAGGTTGGGGAGATTCAGATGCAACACATCAAATACTGTAACACATAGCTTGGTTCCCAGATGAACAGAGTGGGATTCAAATGTCTGAAATAAATAAATATGTAGGACTGGCACCACAGGCCCAGCCACAGAGTGTTAGGAAATGGAGGAAGGTGCTTTTTCCAACTCTCTCTCTGTGTGTAAGGTACTGTCATGTCACAGATGATTTATGGCCAGGGCTATTTTTTGGAGGAATGCACAGGAACGGAGTTCCGGCTGGCTCCTGAGTTGGCCACGCCCAGCAGGAACTCATTAGCATAACAGGCCACACCCAATGGCAGAAACCCATTAGTATTGGCTACATTAGGGGTGTGTGGCCTAACATGCAAAGAAGTTCCTGCTACAAAAAAAGCTCTGGGTTTTGACAACAAACAAGGTAAACAAAATAAGAAGCAAAAGGTTGGTGTGGCTGGATGACCACACTTCTGGTAACATGTGGCTGTGGCCTAATATGCTAATGAGTGGTGCTGTCAGGGGTGTGGCCCAATATGCTAATGAGTTTCTGCTATTGGGTGTGGCCTATTATGATAATGGGTTCCTGCTGGGCTTTTTCTACAAAAAAAGCCCTGTTTATGGCAATCCCATAGAGTATTCAAGGGAAGAGACTAACTGAAGTAGTTTGCCATTGCCTTCCTTTGCACAGTGACCCTGGAATTCCTTGGTGGTCTCCCATTCAAATACTAACCAGAGTTGACCCTGCTTAGCTTCTGAGATATGATGAGATCGGGCAAGCCTGGGCCAAGGGTCTCATCTCATCCTTCCCTGACACAGAAGGGAAACATGGCTGGGACAGTCCTCCTCAGAACATGGTGCAAGTCAAGCCCCCACCCAATCGGCACTGCCCGGTGGCTCAAGCTAAACGGTGCAGAATCCCAGGTGATACCTGCAGCATGCTGACCGCTCTCCCGAAGAGTTTGGAGTTGCTCACTTTCATATCCACCATGTAGTTGCGTAAGATCTTGCCTTTCAGCACGTGGGCCCCAGTGCTGACGGTGTTCAGGATCCACTTGGTGCTCAGTTCCCTTTGGAACCTCTGTGCAGAGGAAGAATGAGACAGGAGGATGGGAAGACAGCAAGCTGGCAGGGAATTGTGGCACTCATTCCCACTGTGAGTGTAACAGCCCCAGGCAGGTCCCATAAGAAGCCCTCCTACAAAGAGGGAGCTGCAAGGAAACCGAGCCCAACGACTCACCAGTTCTGGCCTGGAACACCTTCCTCCCACCCGCCAATGACCACTGATCTTGCTTCATGGGTTACCTGGATGAAATTCCCTTCATACTCCAGAAACAAGATGGGCCACATGATGCTGATGATGGAGGGGAAGAGCTTCTTGAGAGAGGCCTGTGGGGAAGAGACAGGGAGGAGTGGAGACAGACAGAAGAACTCCTCAGCTTCAAGGCCAAGCTCTAAAGCAAGGGGCAAAAGCCACCAGGGAAGTACATTGAGCCCATGCACTTTGCGCAAAGGTTTTCGACAGGAGCCAGTTCTCCTAGCACCACAGTGGCACCTCTTAGTCCTGATCCTTGAATGATTTTATCCATTTTATCCTCACAACAACTCTGTGAGGTAGGTCAGTTTGAGAATAGGTGACTGAACTTCCATGGCAGAGCACATATTCAAACTTGGGTCTCCCACATCCAAGTCCAACCCTCTAACCCCTGCACCACCGGAGCTCTTCCCGACATCTGTTATCTGATGTCCTATACCAGGTGAACCCGGGGCCCTTTTGCACACAAAGCAGAGGCTCATGTCTTGCATGAACATTGGCAGTGGCCATAAACAGAATCAGACCGCTGGACCATCCAGCTTTGTATTGTCTACCCCCAGGGTCCCCAACATGGCGCGCACCGGGTGTTTTTAGAAAGTGGGTGGGGCCAAGTGGGGCTTCTGCCCAGCAAGGCTTCTGATTGATCATTGGAGCTTTGACAGGGTGTGCAGATTTTTAAACACATTGCTTTGGCAACTGCTGCCACCACAGCAGAAGGATCTTCATGGCATGAGTGAAGGTAAGCTGTGGCAGCCATTTTGTGTCTGGCTCCATCGCCTGTGGCAGTCATTTTGTGGCTGTACCCCACCACCTTGTCTCAGGCTCAGAAATGCTTGGGGACCCGTGGTCTATCCTGACTAACGATGGTTCTCTGAGGTCCCAGGCAGAGATATGTCATTCCCAGCAGCTGGTACCTGAGCGCCAGAATACGTTACCTTTTGTCATCCTCTAGGACTCAAGGCCCTGCTAAGCACAAACCACCTTAAAGGAAGCCCTTTGGGGTTCTTACCGGCAGGTACTGCCCAACGGTGGCATGACAAAGCGCCTGCATGTTTGACGTCCTCTCCTTCACCTGAACCGCCAGCTTCTCCACCTCAACAAGGTCATCTGCAGGTGAGAGACAGGGAGAGTGAGTTTACGGGAGCTCCCTCCTACCGTCCTGACTGACTGGATGGCAGGGCTGCCAACTCCAAGTTGGGAAATTCTTGCAGATTTGGGGGTGCAGCCAGGGGAGAGCAGGGTTTGGGGAAGGGAGAGACGTCAGCAGGGTATAATGCCATACAGTCCATCCTCCAGAGCAGCCATGTTCTCCATGCGAACCGATCTCTGTAGTCTGGAGATATTCAGGCTTCACTTGGGTGTTGGCAGCCTTAGTGAAAGACCAGCCAGATGCACCTTTAAGCTGCCTAAATTTTGAGTGATTCCCAAAACAACGTCAATTGGGATGCATTATGGATTTCTTCTGAGCT